TCTGTATAATTTACTTGACATCACAAAAATATATTTCAGGGTAAAACATGGGAATAAAATTAATTTAGTTATCCACGTATATCTGATATTTGCTTTTGGTACCCAAAATTTTAACTATTAGTTTTGGTCATTAACGTCTTATACAAACTCGAGATAAATAAATGTACTTTTACAATGCTACGTTATTAGTTCATACTTACAGTATGCATGAGTTCCTGTTAAGTACTCTTATCAACAATATGTAATGAAACAAATAGTTTTGTTATGGAGTCAATAATTGGCTCCACAGTGGAGCCAATAGCTAACTGTTTGCTTCATAACAAAATTGATGAAACTAAATAAAACACATCAAGAATCTTAAACGACCACACTTCTAGTATTTTTTACTTCTACTATTTTTTATTGTAAATAGTACTTAATAAATCTTTTTTCATAATAATATTGTGAAATCATGGCTCAAGTTCATCCTCATCCTCATGTTCATACTCAGGAATGTTTGGAAGGTCAACCCAACAGTTAACCGACATATAACGTCTCGCACCACGAAAAGGTAGCAATGTGATTATGCTCTTCTCACCCAAGTCGTAGACTTTCACCGCTCTGCCTTTCTGATTCATAAAATATATAGAATTAGGTCGACATACTCGTTTCTCAGAGGTACAGCAAAACCCGTCCCCCCAATAGTTAAGGAAGATAGTCCACTCATCCATGTTGTCGAGCTCCACACACCCCACCCGAGTGGCGTCAACCTCAACCCGAAGGACCTTAAATTCCACACCGTCGTCGAGAGGATGGCCTCTGAACAACTTCATGACAAGTAGGAGTCCCCTGCCGTCGGGTTCCATTATTAATCTAACTGATTAATCCATTTTATTTTTTTAACCAACATCTAATTGAAATTAGATTTAATAAAATAATTAAATTATTTAATTAAGTCCTATCAATTAATCCAATTATTGAAAATATCAATCTAAAAAATGTCATTATTGGTTTAATGGAGCCACCGTGGGTCTTGTTGAGCAACAGTTTTAGACTCTTTTAATTTTCTCAAGCTCAGCCACGGCTCGTAGAGCTAAAGTCCTAGCCCGGGCTTGTTGGTCTAATTGACAATGAGTTTTTACGAGCTAGAGCTAAACTCCTAGCTCGAATTTCATTATATGTTTTCAGCAGTTCAAATTACGTTTTCCCTCTTTCTTCAATTTTTCGTTTAGAAAATTTCACGATAAAAATAAGTATGATGANAACAGTAACACGAGTCCCCACTAAATGGCTCTCTGATGGCTTCTCCAAGCGAATTTGTTCGCGAGGCTCTGGGATAACCCGGCTTATAAAACCGGTTTATGAGCCCAAGAGCTATTTTTATTAGGGGCGGCAATCGTTTTACCATGTTGTGTTCGTATTTAATTACTATCATGTTCTCATGTCATATATTTTATTTTATCGAAAATATGATAGTAAATTTAAATTTTACCATTTTTTATTTGCGTTTTCTATCATATAATATACCTAAAAATAACATCGATAATATTTTATACATAATTTTTTACATCAAAGTATTAATAATATTATTTTATAATAAATATTTATCATATAAATATTTATACATAGTTCTTATTTTTAAAATAAAAAAAATATTTTGAAAAACAAAAAATATATATATATATGGACCGTCAAATCAAATTGGTCCAATCGGGCCGATGTCCAAGTTGACTAGGTTTTGACCAGGTCTGATGTCACTTGGTACGAAGCATCCACCCGAACTAGTTACGACTCGCCGAACCGATTCTGGTTGAAAATCTGTGCCCCATGTGAAAATTAGCCATTTTTTTCCACCCCTATTATCTGAGCACATATGTATGTGAGTGTGTGTGTATGTTTGTCATTCCTTTTCCTTTGGTCTTGAACTAAAAAAAATTTCATTGTCTACGTTTACTAGCGCATTAGCTTTATCTCAAAGTGCGACACATTGGGCATACTTTTGCTTTTTCTATAACTATATATATATATATATATATATTTGGCATTAATTCACTTCATTCAATGTTGCTATACCAATTAGACAGCCCCACATGGAGCAAAATCATTGGGTGTTGGTTCCATAAGAGAACCAACCAATTGATTTTATAGCAACATTGTCACTTTATTATATGTATTGCGCCTAAATTTTATTCTTAGGAAAGATAAAAGGAAAATTATTAATTCCTTTCTTTTGCCCGACTATAATGTTACATAAAATTTTTATTCTTAGGAAAGATTTGCGCCTAATTTTTATTCTTAGGAAAGATAAAAGGAAAATTATTAATTCCTTTCTTTTGCCCGACTAGGATGTTACATAAAATTTTTATTCTTAGGAAAGATAAAAGGAAATTAACTAATTCCTTTCCTTGCCCGACTAGGGATGCAGGTTAGGTCAATTTAATATTTCCTTCTTATAAATATACACAGAACATATTCCATGTACAGCGCACACTTTTTTCTCACCTAGATTGGATGTTCAGTTGAGCAGTCATGTCGTTTAATAACGAGGATGCCGCTGCCGCCACCACCACCACTGACTGGACCGTACTCCTCCCGGAGCTCCTGACCGCGATAATGTCTAAACTACCCGGCAAGGACCAGCCATCCGCTAGCCTCGTTTGCCGCTCGTGGCGCAACTCCGTGTCGGCCCTACCCAACCGCTACCCTCCCTGCCTCACGCGCTACCACCCCCGCACCCGCGCGTGGAAATTCCACAAACACGGCTGCAACGGCTCCACTTTCCAAACTTCCTTCCCCGAGCTCCACGGCTCCGAGATACGCTGCTCCCGTCACGGCTGGCTCCTCATGACCCGTCCCGACCAAGGCGCCTTCTTCTTCTTCGACCCGTTCAGCCGCCGCACAATCCACCTCCCGCCCATGACCGACAACGGCTTCACCACCTTCGGCTTCTTCGGGCCCCCGACCGAGCCCGGCTGCACCGTCCTCGGGCTCGGCGACTCGACCGCGCCCACGGCCATCGACACGTGCGTTCTCCGCCGCGGGGAGGCCGCGTGGGAGGTCCGCGAGCACCTCGTGGGAGGGCCCGATTTCCGCGTGTCCCTCGCGGCCCCCGTCATGCATGCGGGCCGGGCCCACTTCGTGGACAAGCGGGGCAATGTGGCCCGGCTCGACGTGGGCCGCGCGGGGGGGAAGCTTTCGGTGAGGTGGCGGTGCATGAGGCGGAGGGGCCGGCTCGAGGGAAGGATCAAGGAGCACTATCTGGTCGGGACGGAGGACGGGGGACTGATGGGCGTGTTTGTTTTTTCGGACGAGGGGAGGGTGAAGGTGTACAGGCTGTCGGACGAGGACGGGAGGTGGGATCCGGTGTGGGAAGGCGTAGGGGAGGACAAAGTGGTGTACCTCAGCCAGGGTTCGTCGTTCGTAGGCCCGGCCACTGAGGGGAAGGGGAACACGGCCTGTTTTCCCAAGTTTTACAAGGGTCGACACGTTGAGTATTGTCTAAGGGATGGGAAGTACCGGTTGGCGGACGGCGGGTACACGGGCGAGGGCGGGGACGAAACTGGCTACGCGCTGGAGCGCGAGAAGTACCGCGAGGATGCGGTGGGGCTTCAATGTTTCAACTCTGCCGCCTGGTTCGTGCCCCGACAGACGGATGAGGACAATATTGGTGATGATAATTTTTGTTTCTGATTTGTGCTTATTTTTTCGTCTTCCTCGTGTTTTTTTTTTTTTGNNNTGATGGTCTTCGTGGTGAGGGGTTTTGTGTTTCTTCTTATTAGTTGTTGCCTCTACAAGAGCATGAATGAATTTTGTGTTTTGTGTTTGAATTGGCTCATTAATAAATCTAGAACATAGGGGATATAATCAGGGCACTTTGGATATAAAAGTATAAAATTCCTACAATAAAATAACTATTCACAATCAAGTTCAACTCGTTTAATTATTGAGCTTGTGTTCGGCTCATGCAAGTAAATGAATGAGCTGAACTCACAAATTTTTACCGGTTGACCGAACCGAACTGTGTTAGCAAACAGTTCAATTCGACTAATAGCTCTAGACATTAAGAAAAAGGACAAGAGGAGAATCACTGTGCAGGTCGTTATTACCACATATCTTTAGTAAAAGGAAGAGAAGGTATATCTGGGGAATGTCCCAGTGAATGCAATCTAACTTTGCCTAGGTTAGACTACTTTCCGTCTTTGTTTATAGAAATAGGGCTATCCTCGAAAGAGGAAACATGCTACAAGCAAGATTAAGGTCCATATATAAGGTCACTATGTGATGTGCATCAATGCATGCGCCTTTGCAATTCACAAGTAAATTCATTCAAAAATATCACATGATGAATAACAGTAATTCCCTAACCAGTATGAATATCAACATGCCGAGCAAAAGAAAAACACGATCGATCACACTCTTCGACAACAATGGCAAGAGTTTCGGCAAATGGAAAACATCCGTCCAGTCATCCATGACAATACCTTCAACAAATGAGTAGAATATAATGAGACCAAACCACCCCTCAACAAGCGTTTGAAAAATAAAAAAAGTAAAGCAATCGATCTAGTATGACTCCCTCCACACTCGAAATCAACCAATATGGTGGCACCTACAGCCGCGTGCATAAGTAGAGGCAATCGAAAAATAATCAAGATGTGCTTCAAGAACTAGTATGTCAACTACACTCATTTCAAAACAAGAACAACACAAAAGTAAGGAAAATGTTACAGTCCCGTAACGGAACCATTCCTCTATATAACACTCCAATAAGAGATTGCCACATCAATTTTGTTTGACTACATCTAAGGGTTCATATCAAAACTAAAAGATCTAGTGGCTTATATTGAATTGAGGGAACATGAGGGAATGTAGCATTTCCCTAAAAGTAAAACTACAATAGAAGCTTTCTTTCCCTGAATCCCGACTCTATTTGAAATACCCCGGTTTTCCGCACTTGTAACAGTCACCACCCGATCCACGGGGCCCATCTCGATTCCGGCTGCCCAAGCTTTAACCGTCCCTGCCCGAGCGCTGGTTGGGCTGGGTCCGATCGACGGTTATGGAACGTCCATCGAGATCCATCTCGTTCATTGCCTTTATGGCTTCTTCCATATGTCTCCCTCGTCCTCAAACAAGACGAACCCCAACCCACGCGAACGGCCTGAGAATTTGTCAACCACAACCAAAACATCTCTCAATTTTTTACCCAATCAACTTTATTAAAAATTAAAACACTTTATCTAATAAATCGATTCAAATCTAACCTTTTAAAAAAATATCAATAAACCTATGTACAAGCTTAGTAAAAAGCATTAATTGGAGATACATTTTAATTTCAGCCTGATAAATAACTTGGTTCGTGTTCGTATCACTGGTTCAACCATTTGATTATCGAGTCAACTGCTTAATCAATAATAAATTTATGTAGTTTTTTTTTAAATTATATATGTGATATTTTTTTATCACAAAATAATAAAAATAAACAATTGATGTTTTATTTTCACATCTCAGTCTATATAACGTTGTATCCATTATAAATAATTATCACATGAATATATTTACAAATTTTAAAATTTAAAACAATTAAATATATTTTAGGAGAAAAAAAAACAAAACAAAAAAACATGTCAATCTGGGTTGATCTAACCAGTCAAAATTGGCCCAACCAAGATTTGACCGATTTTTTGTTACGAAAGCCCCATCCGAACCATCCGACCTCGCGCCAACGTGAGGGCCGACTTGTTCAATATATTAAAGATATATTACTTTTAAAAATATATTATTAAAAATATATTATTGTAAAATCTTAGAAATATATATTATTAAAAATATATTACTTTATTTTTAAATATTATTAAAATATATTATTTTAAAAATAAAATTCAAATAAAAAATTGAAAACTTAATTTTATTTATTTTTTAATTAAAAAATAAAATATATATTATTAAAAATATATTTTTTATTTTTAAATATTATTAAAAATATATTATTCTATTTTTATATATTATTAAAAAAGTAATTATATATAATTTATTAAAAATATATTATTTGTTAAAAAAAGCTTTTATTTATTTTTATAATAAAAAATGATAATGTCATTCCATTCTAGTCTCATTCCTTCTGCATACTAAACACATCAACGACAAAACATGTTTCATTCCATTCTCATAATCATTTCATTCTTCAATTCATTCTATTCCTACGAAATTCCATTTGATCATACCAATTATGACATTGTAGACTGATATATGTGATTAGTATTACCATAGTATATAAATCAATCGTAATTATCTAAATTGTACCTTTAAAACATACTATAAAATATTTAAATAATTTTCAGATTTAGTAAATAATATTTTTTTTAGCGAGAAATACTTTACTATTTAAAAAATAATCAAATATTTATATATATATATATATATATATATATATAGGGGTTGGTTCAAATAAAAATTAATCCTGGTGTAAGAACCATAATTTTTTATGCTATTTTCAATTGTGTATGATGCTATTTTTAATCTTACATGGTGCTATCATCCTTACAAATGCGAACACAAATTGTATTGCTATTTTTAATAAAATATATCCTGATTAAAAACAGCACTAAAATACAATCAATCATAGTACTACATACAATTAAAAATAGCGGTTCTCACGATTTTCACACTAGGACTTGTTTCTCATTTGAACCACATCCTATATATATATAGATTTTGAGTATAGGGTTCTACACACAAGCCTGCCTATTACATATAGGTTTCAAACTCCACCCGACCTTGGTTAGTTTCGGAACACCGGTTCCCACGTTGAGTCACGGTGCAAATTGTATAATCAAATAATTAATTTTAGAAACTTTTAAATTATATAGATTAATTATTATCTCAAATATATAAAAAAAAATATGTAAATTGTACGGCTCAAAGCTTAAATAGTGTTGCATATCTTCATTAGCATTTACCATACAAATATATTTACACATAATTTTAGTTTTATAGTAAAAAAAATTTTATAAAATAAATCGTGTTTATTTGAGTTTGTCCAACCTGCCAAAATCTGGCCGACTGAAACTTGACCGGGTTATTTTTCACTGTTTCAAAAGATCTACCCGGATCAGATCTAGCCCCAGGTCACTCTTCGGCCCGATTCATGTCCCCGATTAATAATTAGAGATCCCAAAAAGAAAAAAGAAATAAAAGGGTAAAAATAAAATAATTTGTAACAAGAAAATGAATAATCTATATATATTGAAAAAGAGAGGTCAATAAATCAAACGAAAAAAGTTAAAAAAAATCGCAGTCAACTGAGTTGACTTACTGAATATGGCAATCTTTTAAAATTCGTGTGATTTGAAATTATGATTCCTTATATTATGGCTGAAAATCTGTTCACGAGTTGCAACTGAAATTTGTTCACACGTCTCCCGAAAAATCCGTACCCTCCCGTATTTATTTCATGTTCTCCATATCTCTCCCCAAACACAAGAGATCCGCCCAAATTCTTTAGCATAAATCACGCCTTAATCTCTCATAACTCCTCACGCTTTCCAAGCAAGGAGTTCAGAGTCACGCCTTAATCGCCCAAATTCGACGCTCTGTACATGAAAGACGGCAGAGGCGACGAGGGGGGCGGCCGTGAAGAGGACGTGCAGGATGCGTTTAGGGTTTTTGATCGGGACAGGGAGGGTTCATCGCGGCGGATGAACTGAGGTAAGAAAAAGGAAAGAAAAATGATGAAATCTGGAGAACAACATCAAGATGAACATGCTAATGAGAAAATTGGTCTCAAGATTGATGCCCCACCATCAAATATCCTCCCGACAGGTGCACTTTTTTTTTCTTTTCATTATTTTTTAATTTAAAAAAATGGCTTTTAATTTGTGGAATTGTTTGGTGTGATAAATTTGCTGTTCGCAGAGGAAAAATTAATTGGGCCGAGAACTAATTTCTTGATTATTTCTTGATTATTGCGGGTTTGCTTTTCATTATTGTTGTTCGCAGAGGGAAAATTAATTGGGCCGAGAACTAAATTTGGTGTGATAAATTTTGCTGTTCGCAGAGGGAAAAAAATGCCTTTTTTTCTTTTTCCTTTTCATTATTTCTTGATTATTGCCTCTATTTTTAATTGGGCAGAGAACTAATTTTATGTTTTCGATCTGCAAATTGCTTATGGAATCATGATTTTTGTTTTGATGTGAAAATTGCAATTGCCAATTGGTTGGCGTAGTTTATGGATTTCAAGTTCGCTTCTTTTTGTTCTTATTTTTTTCATGTTCTTAATTGAAGCTCTGCTTCTGAAAAATCTTAAAGTTATCTGCAATTTTTTCTCTACTTTAAGTAATATTTTTTTTTTAAAATTTTTTTTGTTCTGTAGATGGATTACATAAACACTTCCCATCCAAATTTCATTGGTGATAGTAAAGCTGTAGATATGACATTGCAAATGGTAAGTCATCCAAGATAATAGTACCCAATGGAAAACAGGTTACTGCAGTTTGGTTTACTGGGTATCTTACATGTCTGATTGGTTTACAAGAATCTCTTCATAAATCTGTGAGTTTCTTATCATATAGGAAATAGGAGATTCGGAGAAAGCTGACAGAAATCTGAAGTCTCCGTCTATAATAGGACGGCAAGTGAATGGAGTTGTTTCCGAGCAAGTAAGTTATCTGTTGGTGTTAATTGTCTCAGTAGAGCACTTAAATAGGTGTGTGAAGTTACCTAATAGCTTTTTGCTGTTTTTTTTTTNGTCTGAAAAATAAAGGTTGTTCGACCTGCTGCAGAGTCTGAGAGAACTGCACCAAGTGGTAAGAATGATGTCCAGAACATTTTTTTTTAATCGCGTCACTTATTTTATACCATTCCTGCTTTCCTTTCCTTGAGTAAATAAATCACTTTCTCAGTCTATGAGAGAGAGAGAGTGGTGAATATTTTACCAACCTCTTGGCCATTATTTAACGATAACTTAATACACCAGATACAAATATATACAGAGGTCTATTTGACAGTTGAAGAATAAACTAAAAGAGTATTTAAACCCAAATCCTCGGGCAGATAATATGGTAATTTTGCTCAAGGATATGCGTTTAGCTGATTGATACATGGGTATGTAAGAAATCCAAAATAGTAGCTTTTTCTATAATGTTACAAATATTAATGACTAAACAGCTAGCACTGGTGGCTCAAGTTGGGGAATGTCATCAATTTTCGGTGGGCATGATAATCACAGTTCAGCCAAAGATAAATCAACTAGCAAACCATCTCATGAACCTCTTCATATCATGGAGCAGACCTTTTCAATGATTCATTTAAGAGAGGTGTATATTTATTCTCCCATGTGCCATTTGTTTGTATTTACCAAAATGCAATTATGGAGAAATGTATTTGTGGAAGTACAATGCTTTGTACTAGCACCTAAGGGGACACCAATTAGTTTCAGAAAGAAAGTTACGATGTTTCTGTTATTAGACTAAAAATAATGGTGTAGCTTTTGTACGTCGCTCATGTAAAAATCTGGAAGTTCATATTATGATTGAATTTTTTACTTTTGACAACTGAGCTGAGAAGGCTCATTACACCACAAGATATCTAATCATTGCATTAAAAAAATACCTAACGGAAAACAAATTGGAAAGCGAAGCAGATTTGAAGGCCACCGAGAACAAGATTGAAGATATTGTTGGAGATTTTGTCGAGTTTGCCGATAAAAGCCCGGGGCTGGAGAGGAGAGGAAGGTCAATTACATCGAGCCATGGAATAAGCTGCTAGAGAATGTATTTTCCGACACAAGGGGATTCGGAATAGAGCCTGATGGGAAGTACATATATGAGGACCCTAAATTTACTGAGGGCACTGCTCATGTGTAAGAATGATTCACACCTAAACTAAAAGCCCTTGTAGGATTAGTGTTCAGTTCAGTTATTTAGTTGAATCTTTATACCTATTTCTGATTGAAACGGCAAGTTCAGCCTCTATTTTTGCAATGAGTGTTTTTGATGTTGTGTTCTTATTATCCAGACTTTTTGTTGCTCTGTTTTTGTTTTTCATTTTTTTTTTTGTTAAGGTCTTTTTTTCTTTATTAGTGTTGTTTGTTGGATGATTTTTAATGTAGCAAACTTGATGTGCTGCTTATTCCTAGAGACTTCAATATTGAAATAGAATGACTGTTATTACAAAGGGGATTGATTTTTTATGAGTATTAGCTTTAAATTTGTTTTGAGTAAATAGTCCTTATGTTGTTTTAACATGCTAGATGCTTGGTTTTTACTTTTTAATCTTTTATACAGTATAAAATGTAAATGCCGTTTCGTGTTGTGCTGTGTGAGCTACATGGGAATAAAATTTATATTGTATAAAAAAATGGTACATATATTTTTATATATATTATGAAAAATTAAAAACATTTAAGTCAAATAGAAAGATTTACTATTAAATATTGAATTCGTACATACTAATTACCATTCAAGTATATTTTTTACAAACATGTGCAGATGTTCGATATAAATATTGAACAATAACACTCATAATTTAATTTAAGTCATATACAATAAGAATCATAATTTAATTTAAGCAATCAAGGTAAATCATTAATTCAACTTAAAGTATTTATCTCAAAGTTGTTATTATTATTATTATTTCATTTTTAAGTTTTGTTTAAGAACATGGACTTAATCGGTTCAAAACATTTTTTTTTATAATTTGTTCTTTTGATGCTTTAAAGTGTAATTTTGATGTGAAAAACGAATATAGCATAAAGTAGCATTAAAAACATAAAAATAATTGCATAAATGGCAACTAGCTTAAGTTTTTCAACAAAAACATGGCATTTTAAATCTACGTAATATTTTAAACGCTAAGCGATGCTTGGATATAATTTTTTTTTTGTTTGGATTTTTTGATATTGTCTGGTTAATTTTAAAAAATAAATCTGTATATATTGAAAGAGGTTGATAGAATAATCAAGAGAATTACTTTAACATATATTACATTCTTTTGAAATTAAGTGTTGCTTATAATAATTGCCACAAATTTTAAAATTTAGCATATCTTATTTAGAATCTAAATAATATACTGAAATAAAGTATGAGTAAAGGAAGCTAGAGAGAGAAATATTATGTGCGTATTATTTGTTGACAATGTTTGAACATGTTAAAAGTCCAGTATCCTTACTTATAAACATAAACTCTAAAATGTCAATTATTTTATAACAAGTGAAATAAATATATAAATCATATATTAAATTATTATATATCATAAATTAGAAGAAAAAAATATCAATATTTTGAACTGTTTTTATACTAATCAATATTGGGATTTCTTTTGGTAACAAATTTCACAATTTTTCCGATTGTTTGGAGTTCAATATTGCAGAAAAAATCTCGAGATTTGATAAATGAAACCTATCAAAATACCAATATTATTTTTCAAACAATCCAAAAAATCTTACCAAATTAAATTGTAACAAACTCCATTGGGTGTTGCTAAATACCGCACCCTTTTTGCTAAATACCGCACCCCAATTTACATTTTTGCCCTTTTTATATAAAAATAAAAAAAAATAAAAAAAAATAAAAATTAGTTGATACAAAAGGGTGCGACTTTGTGTTGATACCACACCCCAATTCCAATTGCTCACATATAACATAAAAAATAAAAAAAAA